TTTCTGCCCGCCGTGCGCCCCGAGGCGCGCGACGGGTTTCTGCCCCGTCACTCGGCGCGTCGCCCCCAGGAGGCGCTACGACGGGCGACGGGGACCCGCGCGTCGCCCCCCGTCGCCCGTCGTGGCCTGCGCGCGGCCCGTACAGCCGGCGCGCGGAACGTACGGGCTGCGCCAGGCCTGCGCGCGGCCCGTACGGGCTGCGCCAGGCCCGCGCGCGGCCCGTACGGGCTGCGCCAGGCCCGCGCGCGGCCCGTACGGGCTGCGCCAGGCCCGCGCGCGGCTCGGGCCGCCTGCGCGCGGTTCGGGAGGCTGTGCCAGGCCCGTGGGCGGCCCGTTCTTCGCTGCCCCTGTCCTCCCCGCTGTCCCCCGTGCTTCTGAAGGCGCCCCACCCCTCCTTCTGCCCGTTCTCCTGGATTAGGGTTTGGGGGTGGGGGGTATGGGGGTGCAGCTTCTGTGTGCCGTTCCCTGCTCCTCCTCCTCCTCCGTCTCCCTGTGCTGCAGCTGCCGCTGAGGGGGGGTGGACCTGTTGGAGCCGTCGGAGTGGTACTAAGGGAGGGTGAAGGGGGAGTGGAGCTAGGGGTGAAGCAGGGGGTGTGTGTCAGGGGGGGTGGTACTGTTTGGGGGAGGTTGAACGGAGGTTGCCGTCGTGTCGCCAGCAGCACCTGTAGTCCGGGGAGTTGCTCCGGTAGCCCAGTCGTAGCCACCTGTGCCAGTCGCCCGTGGGTCCGTTGCTCGTCTGCCGCTACTTTTAGCCGCGGGGCCAGTTACTCCAGTAGTCCGGAGCGCTGTTCCGGTAGCCGCTGTGCCAGTGTGCCTCCTGTTGCCCGTGTGTCTGCAGCTTCAGCCGTCGCCTCCTATCTCCTCTCCTCTCACTGTCCCTCCTCCTCCTCACTTGCCCGTTGTGACTACCACTAGCTTTGCTCATAATTGTGAACTTTAAACTATTGCTTCCTGAACTTGTGCTCAGAATGTGTGGTGACATTGTGATCCACCCTGAGCTTGTTCTGCTTTGCTTGCTCTGCTGATTACACCCCACTTTGGCTATGGGGGTGTGTCAGAATATTATGCTCTAGCCTGTAGTGGGGTGCTCTATAGCGAGTACAACCCTTCTAGGGTTTGCTATTTGTATCCTCATTCTTGCTAGTGCAACCTCCTTCTTTGCCTAAACTGTTTCTTGCCTAGCTAGGGCTTTCCTAGCTATGGCGCCTTCTTCTACTGCTTATCTTCACAGTAGGCGCGTGGCGACGTCACGATGACTCGCCACCAGTCCATGGCGGGGCCCCTTAGCAGCGAAACTGCATACCGAATCTTCGCTGCGTCCGATTCGACGTAATTCGCGTCGAAGAAGACGTTCATCGTGAAGACCCACGATTGAACCGTCGGACCTCCACGCTGGCTCGGGTCGAAACAGGGCGGGCGTTGCGGCTTGAGTGGCATTGGTGCCATGATGGCCTGTTCGCCACTTGTCGCCGCGAACTCCACGTGCCGACGGGCTTCGCGAGGCTCCCGCGGGCTTGGTGCGACCCTGTTTCCTCCCATGCCAGGCATCAGCTGGGCGGCGCCATCGCTGGCTGCGCCTGAGCGCTGTCCCACGCTGTTGTTTTGTGTTGGTGTGCCGGACGAGATGACGATCGGCTCGTCTGATTGTGCAGATGCATTTGTCGGTGCGTGTGGTGGCGCTGGAGTGTTCATCGTTGATTGCTGACGCGCGGAGTCACGTTCCGCCGTGAGCGTCGCAATTTCGAGCGCCGAATCTTCGAGTTGGCGCACCAGACGTTCGAGCTGCTCCTGCGTCAATGTGGCGAGCGTGAATTCGGCCATGGCGGGGGTGTCGGGCGAGCTCAGCGAGAGCCTCAGTCGTGGCCGTGCGTGCTTACGAGAGAGCACTACGAGCGGCGGTGCTGTGTCGCTAAGAGACGTCTACCCCCCCCAAAAATTGAGATAGTGGGGAAGCGAAGGTGTGGGTGCGGTCTGAGAAGAGGTCGTAGGCTCTGAATACCAAGTGTTACGAGTGCAATTGAGTGAACGAACGAGAATTGCACTATCGAAGCAAGAGTACAATGGGCGAAGGTATGAGCGAAGAATATATAGCGAAACTACAGTGGTAACGGTAATGGACTGTGGTTGTCGCGCGACGGGCCTGGGACTGAGGTTGGGAAAAGTGTCGAAGCGGAGGCCCGGAGCGCGGGTTACCCGCCGAGCCGTGAGGTCGGGGTGCGACGTGCGAAGGTGGCGGGCGGATTGTCGATGCGAGGATTGCGAGTGGTAACGGTGCTGACTGTGGCGCTACAGTGATGTGTGAAAAGCAGTAGAAGAAGGCGCCATAGCTAGGAAAGCCCTAGCTAGGCAAGAAGCAGTTTAGGCAAAGAAGGAGGGGTTGCACTAGCAAGAATGAGGATACAAATAGCAAACCCTAGAAGGGTTGTACTCGCTATAGAGCACCCCACTACAGGCTAGAGCATAATATTCTGACACACCCCCATAGCCAAAGTGGGGTGTAATCAGCAGAGCAAGCAAAGCAGAACAAGCTCAGGGTGGATCACAATGTCACCACACATTCTGAGCACAAGTTCAGGAAGCAATAGTTTAAAGTCCACAATTATGAGCAAAGCTAGTGGTAGTCACAACGGGCAAGTGAGGAGGAGGAGGGACAGTGAGAGGAGAGGAGATAGGAGGCGACGGCTGAAGCTGCAGACACACAGGTAACAGGAGGCACACTGGCACAGCGGCTACCGGAACAGCGCTCCGGACTACTGGAGTAACTGGCCCCGCGGCTAAAAGTAGCGGCAGACGAGCAACGGACCCACGGGCGACTGGCACAGGTGGCTACGACTGGGCTACCGGAGCAACTCCCCGGACTACAGGTGCTGCTGGCGACACGACGGCAACCTCCGTTCAACCTCCCCCAAACAGTACCACCCCCCCTGACACACACCCCCTGCTTCACCCCTAGCTCCACTCCCCCTTCACCCTCCCTTAGTACCACTCCGACGGCTCCAACAGGTCCACCCCCCCTCAGCGGCAGCTGCAGCACAGGGAGACGGAGGAGGAGGAGGAGCAGGGAACGGCACACAGAAGCTGCACCCCCATACCCCCCACCCCCAAACCCTAATCCAGGAGAACAGGCAGAAGGAGGGGTGGGGCGCCTTCAGAAGCACGGGGGACAGCGGGGAGGACAGGGGCAGCGAAGAACGGGCCGCCCACGGGCCTGGCACAGCCTCCCGAACCGCGCGCAGGCGGCCCGAGCCGCGCGCGGGCCTGGCGCAGCCCGTACGGGCCGCGCGCCGGCTGTACGGGCCGCGCGCAGGCCACGACGGGCGACGGGGGGCGACGCGCGGGTCCCCGTCGCCCGTCGTAGCGCCTTTTGGGGGCGACGCGCCGAGTGACGGGGCAGAAACCCGTCGCGCGCCTCGGGGCGCACGGCGGGCAGAAAACCGCCGCGCGCCTCGGGGCGCACGGCGGGCTGAAAAAAACCTAATTTCGACGCCGCGCACCACGGGGCGCGCGGCGGACAGGGAGTAGCAGTAGCAGCGGAAGCAGTGAGGTGGGGCCCACAGGCCAGGAGCATATCGCTCTGATACCATGTGAAAAGCAGTAGAAGAAGGCGCCATAGCTAGGAAAGCCCTAGCTAGGCAAGAAGCAGTTTAGGCAAAGAAGGAGGGGTTGCACTAGCAAGAATGAGGATACAAATAGCAAACCCTAGAAGGGTTGTACTCGCTATAGAGCACCCCACTACAGGCTAGAGCATAATATTCTGACATGATGTACGCGTTGAGCAGGGACGCGAAGTAAGGAAAAAGAGATTTTCCTTACACTTTCCCTCCCTCCCGCCCTCGTTCCCATCCCAACTGTCGTCCTTCCCAAGCGATTCGACGCATACACGTTTGGATTACCTGACCTGACAACGAGGTTCGCCCGAATCGAACATGTGTTCGTCAAATCATGAGGGAAAACTTTGCCACGCGGGACTAATCCGTGCACTTTTCCTTGTCCATGCATCCCAGGCACACGACACGACCCTAGTCAGTTGCTTCCTGTCCAATCTCCTAGCTGGAAGGTGTTTCGTGAAAGCGTGCCTATATTCCCGGCTCTATTCATCGGCGTCACGATACTGTACTACGTGTAGCGCTGTTCAGGCGGGTTGGCCATGGCAAACCCTAGCAGCGGCGGTCGATGGCTTGTGGCATGGCACACAAGGAAACGCAGGTTTTTGCAGACGCGGCAAAAAATGCTCCGAAACGAAATAAGAGAGACAGTGCGCCGCGCCGCGCCACTCCCCGCCGTGCTTCGTCGTCCAAAGGGCTTGCAGATCGTAGTAACCTGTTTGGGTCGGGACGGGACCGACTTCAATCATGTTAGTAACCAATGTAACATGATTGGACCATTCATTCTATCTGTACGACGTCGCCCAATGTCAGCCTACAGATGTTTGTACCGCGCCACACGAGAGCTTACTAATAGAAGAGTGTTCTCGGCGAAGCCCTTCGGCTTAGTAAGGGTGCATTCCTGTGGAGACACAAATGTCTCAATCGCTTTGTGACACACAAAAACAGCATAAACTGTAGTGTGTCCCAATTGCGAGTCGCATTTCCGCGACCATTACTGTATTTTTTATTGGTCAGCGTGAAACGCGCTGACGTCGCTGACGAATTGTAATCCGACTCGTCAATGTGAAAAATTCGCACGCAGCTCGAAATGTCAATGCACCTGGACAGCCTGCAATGCCAATTTCGTGCGGGAAAAAATCCCGCTCGTCGAAACCACACCCCAGCCAAGCGGTTGAAAAAAGGGATGTACAGTCATTTGTGTCACCCAAACAAATGCGCACAACTGTACATCTCGCCTGGTCGCCTAGAGTCGCGATACATTGGTTGTTTGTGACACAACATTTGGCAAATTTACAGGCGCGACTCGGGAAATCGGGGATTGAGACACAAGTGTCCCCGCAGGAATGCACCCTAACAGATTAGTAACAATTGAACTACTCTGCCACTAAAAAGATGGTCGCTATTAGGTCTGTTAGCCCGTCGCTCCCGCTCCTAGTAATACTCCTCCTCCTCATAGCTTCCTCGTCCTCTCCCCACTCGCCTTGCTCAGCCACCCGCGCCGCTGCCATCGGCGCGCAGTTGCCACCTGCCCCAGTTCCGCCCGTGACCAGGAACCGCGATGCGAACAGTACCAGCGTCTACACTCTGCTGCCCCGCGCGTGGCACCCGCCGTTGATCCTCTCCTTTACTCATGAAGCAGTGCAGTCGCCGCGTCAGCGCCACGTTTTCGGGCGGAAGTCGGGGCGGCCCGTAGAAGCGGCGGAAGTTTTTCCGCAGTCTGCGGATGGGCGGGCGCCGGAGTCAGCCGCGCGCGGGCGCTCCCTGGCGGCTTCCGCCGCCGCCAGCGGCGCCGACGAGGGCGAGTGCGACGTAGAGTGGATGCTGCTGTGGCCGGCGCGACAGGGATGCTGGCGGCCGCGCATGACGGCGCAAGGCGGAACTTCCGCGCGCGTGACTTCCGCCGCCTCCTCCTCCGCGCACCGCCAAGCTACCACGCAAAGCCTGACTTCCGCAGGCGCTGTGATCGCGCAGGCTTCCGCGCCTCCCCCTTCCCCTCCCGACGACCGGCCAGGCGACGGGGATGGGGGGAGCACTCCGCCCGCGGGGAACGAGGCGCGGCTGACACCCGACAATGAGATCATCGGCGTGTGCCGATTCGGAGGTGAGATATCCGCGATATAGAGTTGTGACGTCCTTCAAAGAACAGGAGGACCCTGTGAAGGGGGGAGATACTCCCATTGGATTAGGGCTGCGGCCAACGGGGGGTCAATAGGGGCGGCGGAGGGTCTATGTGGGCAACGGACGGGGAATGAGGGCAAGGGAGGGGCGATGGGGGCAATGAGGGCGGCAATGGGAGGGGGGGGGGCAATGATCATGGCAATGCTCCGCAATTGATCGCATGATGATGCGATCATACGCGCGTGCAGGTCTGGGAGGGAGGTATCCGCGTTTTAGAGTCGAGGTGGGTGGATGAGCAGGAGAGAAAACGCTGTAAGTGTTGAGCCAGAGCAGGTGGCAGCAAATAATGTTCTCATTATAGCCAGCATCGCAGTTAGTGTTAGACCATCTTCGTCATGCCCTCGCTGTGCCCCCGCTGTGCCCCCGCTGTGCCCCCGCTGTGCCCCCGCTGTGCCCCCGCTGTGCCTTGAGTCCCGTTGGCTGGCTCAATATCTTCTCTCCTTTCCTTCCCAACGTCTTCTTTCCGTCTCCTCCCCTTCACCTCTTTCTTCTCTCATTCCCTTTCGTTGCCGCGCAGCCCCCTCCACCATCACCATCGCCCCTGACTGGAACGGACAGACGTGGCGAGGCTGGGGCACTTCGCTGGCATGGTGAGTTGCTGAGCTGGCATGGTGAGTTGCTGATCTGACATGGTGAGTTGCTGATCTGGTATGGTGAGTTGCTGAGGTGGCATGGTGAGTCGCCTAGCTAGCATGGTTACCTGCTTAGCTGGCATGGTTCCATGTCTCATGTCTCATGTCTCTTGTCTCATGTCTCATGTCCGATGTCTCGTGTCCCATGTCCCATGTATCGTGTGCACGCACACTCTCCCACCTCCCATGCATCAATACCGCTTACCCCTTGCCCCTTGCCCTTTGCCCCTCCCAGGTTCGCCAACTACGTGGGCAAGCTGCCGGACGACCAGTTTGATCTCATAATGGATTTACTCTTCGACAAGGACAAGGGCATCGGACTCAACTTGGCCCGCTACCTCATAGGCGGCAGCGTCAACTACACCAACAGCCCCCAGTTCCTCACCGCCGCCTGGGAGACCCGCTCCATCCCCGGCTTCCGCGTCCAGCCAAACGGGCCGTACGACTGGACGGCGGACGGGCGGCAGAGGCGGACAATGCTCGCCGCCCTGGCGCGGAATGTGGACGAGGTTGAGGCGGTGTCGTACTCGCCGCCCTGGTGGATGACGGTCAGTGGGGACACTGCCGGGACAGAAACGGGCAAGTGCAACTTAAAGCCCGAGTACTTCCAGGCGTACACGGAGTATCAAGCTTCGGTGATCGAGCATTACCGCACGCACTGGAACGTGACTTTCTCGACCATGACCCCGGCGAATGAGGCGTTGGAGGGGTGGTGGACGCAGGGCCACAAGAACGAGGGGTGCAACTACGGCCCTGAGAAGCTGACCACTCTTATCCGGCTCCTCACAGCCACCTTAACGAGACGCAAGCTGCCGACAAAAGTCGCGGGGTTTGACAGTTTCGTCGGCGCGACTCTCCGGTACACGTTCAAGTTCCCTGCTGCATTGAAGGCCGGCCTGTTTCGGCTGAACGTGCATGGGTACATAAACCCGCCGCCCAGCACGGCAGACACTCGGCAGTACATGGAAGGTGTGATGGTGAGCATGCACCGCATGGCGACCGGACTAGGGAAGGAGGTGTGGGTGTCGGAGGTGGGGCCGATGTGGGTGAGCGGGAATGATGTCGGTGTGATGCTGTTCACGGCGCGGCAGATAGTGGAGACTGTCAACATCATGGGGGCTTCGGCCTGGATTTTCTGGTAGGCTGTGAGTGGGGTGGGAGGGAACAACCCAGACGCGTTTCTGAAATGGGGGCTATTGGCGGTCAGGATCTACCGGCTGAACGACACAGAAGTCAAGCCGTTGGATCTGGTGATCTCCAAGAAGCTCTACATGCTGCAGCAGTTTGTGCGCGGGGCGCCGAGAGGAAGCCTGCCTTTGCGAATCCACACGTCGGACGGGTGCCAGCACTGCATTGCCGCCTTCTTCCACCCCGACCAGCACTTCGTTTCGATTTTCATCGTCAACCAGCGCGACACAACACACACAGCGACATTTCCATTCGAGGATTTCGTGCCGTTTGACGCGGGGCAGGAGTGTGTGTTGGAGACGTATCGCACGTCAGCGACGGAAAATAACACGCTGGTGGCGACTCAAAGTTACACAGACGTGCCAGCTTCGATACAGGTGGCGGCGCTGGGCAGCTCGATGACTTCTGTGGTGCTGCGGAATGTGGACCCCGCGTAGGGCTGTGCTGCTTGCAGGGCTGTGCTGCTTGCAGGGATGTGCTGCTTGCAGGGATGTGCTGCTTGCAGGGATGGTGCATTTTACATCGGAGTGCTTAGCATTGAATTTAGGGGTCTTAGCATAGCGCTGCATCAGTACTGCTGGCTGCAGGGTTTGACGCGGGTCAGGCGGGTGTGGTGCGCACGTCAGCCACGGAGAACAGCACGCTATCCGGAGGGAGCTACTCCGATGTACAGGTGGCTGCGCTGGCCTGGTCTTTTGCATCTGTGGTGCTGCACAAGTTGGCTGGCCCTTGCATCCTGCAGCAATGGTGCTGGTTGGAGAGTTACACAAGGCAGAGCCGCTCACAAGTGCTGCGTGTGCTGCGCAAAGTGCACACCACGCGTATTGGCATACATAGTGATGATGGCATGGCATTGGTCGAGAGAGCAGAGCTGCTCTTTAAAGCCGAGTCTACAAGTGGCTGCACTGGGCTATGTGAATCCTGTGTAGCGATGGCATGATCACAAGGGAGGGAGCTGCTCCTCCGGCCAGGTCGTCGGTACAAGGGGCTGCAGGCTGCGGCCTCGTGGCAGGCAGCCATTGCACAGCCTTGCACAATTGGGACTCCCTGCGGTTGCACAGTTACCACTAGTTAACTAAAATAAGTATTCACCCTGCCTAGTGCAGGCGGGGTTACTAGTAAGGACCACAGAACAGAGCTATGATGCCGTGTACGCGGACCCTGCATAGCATAGCAAAAAGTATCACGTTGTTAGTACATACGGTATTGTCCCCTGCGTTGTTGCCTGCACCATCTGAGTGTATGGTTAGAGAAAGCAGAGCTGTGCATTCTGGTTTTGAGATGGAAAATTGTGTGCCAGGTGTCTACAGCTGTTCATGTGTACCGGTAAGGGGATTTGCGTGTGGATGACACATGCATGTGCTTGTCGATCAAAGAAGGTGCTTCAGGTCAAACCTACTAAGGTAAACTATGGTAAGGTACCATCAACGCTATACATTAGCATTGCAGCCAGCGCTAGGGTGACTAGCAAAGCATCAGTAAAAAAACATCAACGACAATTGCACACCTGAAGCGTACAACTATAACTTATGCCACAGCTAATCTCACACCACCATGGCAGAAGCTGCCTCCACGCCTGCCCTCAGATCCGAGCCTACACTGAAACCCAGACCTGCTTCCGAGCCTGTCCTCAAACCTGCCACGCTGGTGTGGCAATGCCGGAGGATCCAAGGATGAAAGAGGATTTGCGCGGCAGTGGGACGCTGCTGGGGGTTCCTCTGCAGCAGGCACAGCACAAGCCGCTTTGCCTCCTCCGACACTCCCGCCCACTCCTCGCCACTAAAATCCACCACGCCTTTCAGCACCTCCACAAACACGTCCTTATCCGTCGGGCCCCAGAAAGGCGGCGCCCCGCAGAGCAAGATGTATAGAATCACGCCCAGAGACCACACGTCGGCTTCTAACGCGTATTCGCCTAGGAGGACCTCAGGAGCCATGTAGAACGGCGATCCCGCGACGCCCATTGCGCGATTGCCTGATTGCAGGGGAACCGCAAGGCCGAAATCCGCGAGTTTTGTGGTTAGCGGTGCGGTGGAGAACGGTGCGGAGGGGTCGCGCGTGAGCAGGATGTTTTCCGGCTTGAGATCGCGGTGGAGGACGCCTCGCGCGTGGCAGTGTGCGACGGCCGATGCGACCTGCGCGAACACGTTCGCAGCGTCGCGTTCGCTCAGTCGCCCGCGTCGCACGACTTCGTCGAACAGTTCGCCGCCTTCACACAGATCCATGACTAAATGCACTGAATGCTCGTCCTCGAAAACTCCGCGCAATTGCACCACCCCGGGATGCGCCACCCCCTGCGTCTCCCCAGCTCCGCTTCCGCCAACCCGCTGCATCAGCGCAACTTCTCGCCGCACCTCCTCCTGCTCCGCCTCGCTTCTAAGCCTGTCCTTGGAGATCGTCTTGCACGCGAAGCGCGCGCCTGTAAGCCGCTCGGTGCAGCGTCGCACGGTCCCGAACTGGCCGGTTCCTAAGACATGAGAGTCTAACGAAAAGAATGATTCGAGAGGGGCTGTTTGGAACGGAAGGACTTGACCATGCGACGACGGCGACAATGGCGACGTTGGCGACGAGCAGCGATCCTGGGCTTGGTCGACCCATCGCAGCTGCGATTCAGGCTGCGACGAGGCGTCGGGCTGATGTTGCTGTTTCCTCTGCGACCTTACGGTATGCGACTTGCGAGTGTCTCGCACGCTGCTGCGATCTGTTGGTGCTTGCAGAGAGAAGTGGGCCATTATGGCTGATCGAATCTGATAGAGCAGTTAGAAGCTTGAAGGAAGAGTGGGTGCTAGTAGCGACTACGGCGACCAATACTTGAAAATATCAACGAGTTAAGTAAATGCCGCAGACAAGTTCGTACCGGGAGTTCGAGCAGCGAGTGCTAAGAAACAACCAGATGCAGAAGGACTTGAGTTTCCGGATTCTGTGTTGAGTACCTGGCATGGCTGCTGCATACTTATGCGTGAGCGTGACGGTGAGATTTCTCTCGGCCTTTCCAGAACGAGCCGCTCCAAGACTCTCCAAGTCGCGATCCTTCTGGTTGCTTCTGGCTCACGCTCGCGCCTTCCATTTTCTCTGTTCGACAATGCCAAGTCAGTCGTCGTGGTTGGGCGAACCGCAGGTTACCCTAACTGCCAATCAGCGATTCGTGCTGCTGTCTCGTTTGAGCCCACACCTGTCGCCTAGTAGTCGTCGTCGAGGCTGTCGGTGTCGTCGGAAGCAACGAACGAAGGTCAACGAAGGGTGCAGAGAGCCTTCGCGCGAGGTCACTTTCGTTTCTGTGACGCCTGTCAGTTGCTCGGCGGAAGTAGACGGCGATATTTTTGTTCGAGTGTGGCGTGGCAATGTGCTCTGATTGGTCTCGCTCCGCCAACCTCAACTTTGGGTCGGCTCTGCACTGCACGGCACGGCAGGCGTTCAATTCACATAACCGTCGCAGAAAGATGACCGAGGCTTCCATGCGAAACACTTTCGCAGATATTTCAAGTCTGCACTCGTTACAGTCTGTGCTAAGCTGCTGGACAAGTGAAAGGAAAACATTGTCTCAAGGCCTTTCACCATAAGTTGTGCATCGAGTGTACCCTGACAGAAACCCCAGAATAGGGGCTTCTGCTTCCTTCAGACCTTGGCAGGTGCGTTGACAAGCATCACCCTTGTGGCCCTGTGTGGCAAAGTGAACAAACTTCGCTTGCCCCTCGACACTATCAGTGTCCATGGCACCCCCATTCCGCTGAGATAAACGCCAACGGAATGGGCCTCCAAGCGTCGGCGTTCGTGGCACCGTGTGTACCTCCAACGTCGCCTAGCGATGCGACCCCCGTCGGCTTCCCCCACGCGCGTGCACCCCTTCGGCGCCGAACCAGCGAAACGGACGGCGAACCCAGCGAGGGTTCCCCACGCCGAGCCCTGCCATCCAGTTTACCACTTCCATCGTCTTGTCTCGATGTCATCGCGTCGCATTGGCATCTCGCATCTCCCATCCAGGGTTGACCAAATTTCCACGCCTGGCGGCGGAGCGAGCGTCACCCGCTCCACGCCATGATCGTCACAGCGATCCATTTCGTCCTGTACTGTACCACCGCGCGCCAAATTTTCTCTCGCTCCTACCCACCCCATCCATCGCCTCGCCAGATGCGTGAGATCCTCTTCCCGCGAGCTCTTCGACGAATACCCCTTGCACGGGAGTTTGTCGCAATGAGGCCTCTTTCTCCTTTCACGGAGTCCGTCAGTGGCAGGTGTTCTCGCAGCTCGCTTCGTCCTCAGGCTGCTCGCAGCTGTGCTCCGGTTTCGAACCGGGTTGTCAAGCGCTTTCCCTTGCACGCGAGGCGTTGCACCAGTTCTGCTCGCAGTCTGGTTTTGCCATCTCCTTTCACTTGCCGCTTTGCGGCTTACACTCTCTCAAGTCGAATTGGCACAGTGAACTAGCAGTACTGGTTTCTAGTAGCACCATCAGCACCGGGAGGTGATTGCGATCGGCTTCTCGCCTGGCGGCGATTAGTTTCGCAGCGAGCAAAGTTTTTTTACTACTTAACTACCTGCCATGTTGTCGCGGAGTTGTCGCATCCTATCGCTGGTAGAACTGGCGACAGCAACGTTAATGCTGGCCCTTTCCACTGTAAGATGCTCTACGGCCCTAAAGTCCTTCCCGCCTTTTTTGTTATCATGACCGGCTGCGCTATCCTCTGCTTCCTCCTCGCCACTGATCCCACATTGAGCCCCTACCACGCTGTCGTCTGCTTCGTCCTTGCTTTCGTGCGGATCCCCATTGCTCCCTGCTCACTTCCATCCCCCCAATCCTCCCCATCCAGCCCTCCATGCCTCTCTTTCTTCTCACACATGGCTCTCTCCAGTCAAGTTCCTCCCCCAATCCAGCCCTCAGTTCCCTCACCCAAACCGCCCCCCCCCCCCCCTCTGTCCTCGCAGGTGCTCCAGTCGCGTCTGACTATAGCAAGGACAGCTTCGTCCCCCGCCCACGTGGACTTTGAGTATTCGGACACGCTCTGTGGCACGGCATGGCGGGACGACTACATCCGCCTGCACTCCGCCATTCGCTCCGCCAGTGCCGCCGCCTACACCCCTCCTCCCTCTCCCACTCCCCCTCCCCCTGCTTCCTCCCCCGCCTCCCACTCCTCCCGCCGATTGCTCTCGCTCGCAAATTCCCCACCACTGCCACCACCAGCCGCAGCAGCAACAGTGACATCAGCAGCAGCAGCAGCTGCTACATCAGCAGAAGTCTCTGAACCAAGCTTGTCAAACCAGACCCTCCCAGCTTCCCCCATTCGCTTCCTCACGTTCGACCAATCTGGGCACTGCGGCGGCTTCGGGGACTTCCTAGTCGGGCTCGTCTCCTCCTTCGTCGCTGCGCTCTTGGACCGCCGGGCGTTTGTGATTCGCCACAACTGCATCCAGTACGCGTTTGAGCCCGCATTCATCGACTGGCGCCCGTCCCCTGATGTTCCCATGGAGCCTTCTCGTCGCACGAGGAATCTGAATGAGTCGTTTTCGCCGGGGGTGATTCCGTTTCTGGATTTGAATGGGAATCGGCTGGGTTTGCAGGGGCTGGAGAGGTAGGCGTTTCGGCATGTAAAGGTGCTGTGGAACCGCGGGATGGTAACGGAGATGCTTACGAAGGGGACGGGCGAGTGGGCCGATGCGTTCAGGGCGATGGGGTTGCGCCCACCGTACGCCTTTGGCTGCATTCTGCGATTCCTTGTTAGGTACGCCCTGCATTGCATTGGGATGAATTGACTATTCTCAGATTCCTTGGCTGGTAGTCCCTGCGCTGCAAGGAGGTTCAGAGGCGATGTCCCCATGAGGAAAGAGTTATGGCTGCTGATGATGGTGGAGATGCGCACGGTGCTGGTGAGGTGAGGTGAGGGTGCATGTGCAGCTGAGAGATGACATCTCCTCTCCCCTCCCCTCTCACATCCCTCTGTCCCTCCTTCCTTTTCCCCTCAACCCTCACCTTTCACTGTAGGCCCAGGAAGGAGGTATGGCCGCTGACAGCGCGGCTGCTGCAGGAGATGCGGGAGGTGCGGACGGTGGTGGTGGGGGTGCACGTGCGCCTGAGCGACAGTGTGGTGCGCGACCCGCACGCCACCGCCAAGAGCGTCACTCCCGCTTCCATGGCCGCTGCTTTGGAGGCGGCTGCTCCCATTCTCGCCTGCGCCAAGGTGAGTGAGCCTTCTCATGCGGCGTATCGCCTGAATACCCACCTGCAGTGTACGTCACCTGCAGTGTGCGTCACCTGCAGTGTGCGTCATCTGCAGTGTGCGTCATCTGCAGTGTGCGTCATCTGCAGTGTGCGTCATCTGCAGTGTGCGTCATCTGCAGTGTGCGCACGCTGCTCCCATCCTCGCCTGTGCCGAGGTGAGTGGGCCTTCTGAAGTCAAGTGTGCCATGGGTGAGTGGCGGTGGTGGTGGGGGGGTTGCATGTGACGCCAGAGATGCTCCCATCCTCGCCTGTGCCGAGGTGAGCCGGCCAAGAGAGGAGAGGCAAGCGAATGCAGGATTGTGCGAGACCAAGGCAGGGAGCGGTGAGGGCAAGGCAGGGAGCGGTGAGGGCAAGGCAGGGAGCGGTGAGGGCAAGGCAGGGAGCGGTGGGGGCAATGGATGCTCATCACATCGTCTCGACAACTCTCCCCCCCCCAACACACACACACACAGGCGGGGGGTACCACATGTCTCTCACGGTGCGCTGGATGCTCATCACATAGGCTCACCCCCAATCAACACCACCACTCCCCCCTCCCTCCCTTCCCCCCCTCCTCTCATTTCTGTCTGCCAGGCAGTGAGGACATGTGGTATCCGCCGCCTCTCACCGTGCGATGGATGCTCATCGTCTCACCATCATCCCCATCATCTCAAACCACTCCCCCCTTTCCCACCCCCACCCCACCACCCCCCTTCCCAACCCGCCTTGTTCGCCGCCAGGCAGTGGAGGACATGTGGTATCCTCCGCCTCTCACAGTGCGCTGGATGCTCATCACCAACTCAATCGACTTAAAGACGGCCATCCGATCGCACTTCCCCGGCAAGGTGAGTGCCTGTGATGGAAGCTTGACCGCAAATGGTGCTGCTGCTGATGCTTATTACCAACTCCATTGACTAGAAGATAGCCGTCCGCTCCCACTTCCCTGGCACGGTCAGTGCCTGCTCTCTTCGCAAATGATTACTGGGAGTTTGCAAGTGAGTACCCATCTATTCGCCGATCCTTGTTTTAGGCGGTTCCTGAGAATTCTAAGAAAGAAATCTCTTCAAGATAAAAAATAAAACAACTCCCACCACCGACTAGGAGCATCTATACTGACCCATCCACTCAACCTTTATCCATGGCTGGCTGCAGCTTGAACGAAAGCTCCGTGCTCATCCATCCATCTACCTCCTTGTTTCAACACCTCATGACCCATAACCCACCCAGGCACTCTCCAAACTTACCCGTTCGCTTCGCAATACCCACCTATCCACTCCACTCCCCACAACCCACCCGTGCACTCCCAATGACTTCTGCAGATACTCGAGACAAATTTCGTGCCTCGCCACTCACAGGCGTTCGGCAACAAGGGCAAGGAGCAGGAGAGGGAGGAGGCAGAGCAGGGCTACCGAGAGATGGTGGCTGAGTGGCTCTTGCTGTCGTCTAGCAACTCCGTTGTTCTGCCAGTCTCGGGATTTTCGCGAACCGCCGCTATGTATTCTCTACACCCGATGCCACTTTATACGCCACCTCATTACTGTGACCCGGAACAGCCACATCCGCAAGCAGACTTCGGCGTTGCATACAGTGGCATATGATTCTGTTGGGAACGAATCCATTGTACCCTACCTGTTCTCTATATAAATACCTGGTCTTGGCCAATCAAGGATTGGTACACATTTGCACGAGGGTTGTTGGAAGGGTATGACTGGATTGTTTTAGACAAAAACAAATAACAAAGCTGAGACTACATGAAGTCAACATGAGTGGTTCTTACAGCGCTATACAGTACTGAGTTCAAACCCCCGCACTCATGTTTTCCCTGGGATTGCCAAGACATTCTCGACACTTTCTACGCTCCCGCAGGTCACGCTCATCTGCGAAAGGGATATTGAGCATCGATCTCAACGCGTGAACGAACCGAAAGCTTCACGTGAGCCCCCATCGTCTCCGCGGGCTTCCCTCGTCGCTGTGTTCCGCATCCCCGCCAACCCCCTCACCTCGGGCTTCGTTCGTTCTTCCTTCGCCCACGCACCTCTGCATGCGTGCCTCTAGCTCGCGAATTTCTTCCGCGCGTGCCTCTTCTCCACCCCTCTCTGCCTCGCGCGCCTTTCCCCCGCGCGCCTCTTCCCCGCGTGCGTCTTCTCCATACGCCACCCCGTGCGCCTCTTTCCCACACGCCGCTGCCCTGCGCGCGCAGTTAATGCGCCTCCATGCCTTGCGATGTCCCTCCTGTTCATCTCCCTCCGCCCCTGTCGATTTTCCGCTCTTGTCCTTAGCGTCATCGTCAGCTAGAAGTGAAGAAACCAAACTTCAGTGCACCGTCAGATTCTAAGGCTAGGTGGCAGGTTCTAAGGCTAAGTGTTAAGGCATATATAAAGGAATATGTTAAGCCAGGTCTAATCGCTTCGCTGCAGGTGTTTTGGGTGAGAATCGCTTCTCAAACCTCAAGGCGTTGATGATGATTTTGAGAGACAAGCTGCTAAGCTACTAACCTCGGATCTCCTAGCACGGAGTTGTCTAATCACTTCATTCGACTGGAATGCCTCTAAAACCTGTGGCGTCATAGGTGCCCCTTGCTGGTCAGAAGGCATCTCTTTGTGAAGTTTGAACCCTTTCATACTTTCCCGCAACGTCCCTTACCTTGTCCTACTCTCTACCTTTTCTTACCTTCTCTTACTGACCCTTACCATGCCTTTTCCACTGTGCTGTGCCTTATGTGCTGTCTTTTTCTTCTCAGGTCCCTGTTGATCTATTGAGCCCCATTGGCCGTTCACGAATCGCAGCGGAGTAGTGGGGCTGTGGCACGTTATCAGGACAGTGTGCGAAAACAGGGGCGGAATATGATTCAATGGAGGAAGTAATCCACGAGCTTGCACGGCAGTTAGAGGAGGCAAGGAGGCAAATGTTGGAGAATGAAAGGCAAAGCGCGGCAGCATTGAGAGAGCTGCGGTGGCGAATGGAGGAGAGGGAGGGAGAGCTGGCTAGGGTGAAAGGGGAGTTGAAAGCTGTGAAAGGGGAATTGGAAGCGGTGAAAGGCGAGCTCGACGCGACGAAAGTGGAGTTAGAAGTTGCGAAAGGAAAGTTGACTGAAAAAAGAGTTAGTTTATCAAGGGAGGACGAGGAGAAAGCAGATGTGAAGGAAGAGGCAAGCAAGGAGAATCCGAGTATGAAGGAGGAGGCTTACGAGGAGAAAGTAGATTTGAAGGAAGAAGCAAGCGAGGAGAATCCTGGTGTGAAGGAGGAGGTATACGAGGAGAAAGTAGTTATTAGCGAAGAGGGGAACAAACAAAGGAGAGCAGTGGAGTGGGACGGTGTGGCAGCCGGGAAGCGGCAGCGAATACTGGATCATGTTCATGGGGGTTTTCATGCGGCGCAGTAGCCGAGGAAGAGCAAAGAGGCCGGCGAGACGTTTTGGCAAGTACGTGCATAAGGTGTTTGTATGTGGATGTGTTTGTCCATGCGCCCAAGTCTTTGTATGTGCATATGCGTATGTGTTTGTGTGTTTGTGTAGTGTGATGTGCGTGTGCATATGTGTTTCTATTTGCGTGTGTGCTGATGCGTGCGTGAGTGAGTGAGCAAATGTCTGCTTCTTTCAACAGATGGATGGAGCTGCTCCCTGTGTGTTTCTCCGCAATCCCATCACCAATCCATTAGTTCCCTTTCCTCACTGCCAATCTGTGCAGAGAATCCGAGCAGCAAGGGAAACACTGGATCTGAAAGGTGTCTTCCCTCTCTCGGATGCCCTCCTCCTAGCCCATGTGTCCACGATGACTTGTCTCAAGCGCGTGCACATCAACGCGTCATCAGGTGTCACCTCTCGAGGGATCAAGTGCCTCTACTCCTTACCGCAGCTAGAGAGTCTGGAGCTGAAGGGTAGCACTGTAGTAACTGACAGCACGTTGGATGGCATTGGGGCAGCTCGCAAAACCCTGAAACTTCTGTATCTCAACCGCACCAGTGTGTCTGATTCCGGTCTGGTGCACCTCACGTGTCTCTCTTCGCTCAAAACTGTGCTGATCTACTGGTGTCGGAATGTCACAATTGCTGGAATGCTGCTTGTGGGCCAGCTGACAGGCCTTGAGGAGTTGTACCTGTTTGGCAGTGGTGTGAGGGACGATGGGTTGCAGTACCTACGGCCGTTGACTAGGCTGAAGCTGCTCGTGCTTCCATTGATGATCCCCGATGCTGGCTTGCGGCATATCCAGTGGTTTTCTGCCTTGGAATATCTGGACTCCTCGGGTTTTGTGGTTTCTAGGGAAGGTGTGAAGCTTCTGAGGAAGCTGCGTAGCTTGAAGCAGGTTCGAGTGCATAACGAGAGGAGGACGAGGGAGTTGGTGGCGGATGTGCTGCCTCATGTGGAAGTGAGCAGTGCCCACCTGCCTAACGCGATACCTGGAGACTAAAAGCGAGTATGAAGGCCTGTGAGATTTTGTACAGCCTGAATCAGGTATCAGCATCTAACTCCGTTACCTTGCACCAGTACTCTCGTTCACACCCCCTATACCCAGCAGCCGGTTGACCTTCGTCATGCACTACTTTCCATTTCAATACCAAGGTGCTGCACGTCCAGTCTGTTTAGTCCCATTGGTCGTCAATGTGTATATATGTGTTAATTGTGTATTTGCCAAGGAAGGTTTCATCTTAGCTCTACGTTTTTACAACGAGATACCGAAACGCATGATCTGGGCCACAAACATTACCGCGTACAGATTCGGCATGCTGATATACTGACTGATTGGCTCATCGTGAGTTACCACATGTTCCTCTCAAAAGCTTAAAGCGACGGTGCACATTTGCCACCCAAAACCCAGAACCCTGGCGAACTGTTACTGCGGATGGAAAGTGTCCGCACGAAATCCTGGTTTTCGCCAGCCAGCACTTTCGCGCTGGCAAGCCTGGTTCAAAAAAAAAACTTCTGAACCCAACACTGCCAAAAGTTGCCCGTCGCTTTAACTCTCGCCTAGATCTCTCCTTCCCCTGTTGTGGGCCTCGGCGAAAGCAACCACAATTCAATCCGATAGATTGGTTGTATGAAAAGCCTCGCCACTGTCCGAGTCAGTCATCAGAAGGCGTGCAATTCTCATCGCTAGGCGTGAAATCTTTATCACAAGGCGTGAGATCCTTATCGAAGACCCTCCCTAGCTCGCGTTTACTATCCCCTCTGATCGCTCGCATCACGTCCTTGCCACATCGTGTCGCCTCGATGTCATCGCACGGGTATCATCGTCACACGTCTTCCGATTCATCTTTTCCCCTACCAAATCCACGTCGGACGTCCTGGTGGTCGATCGTCACCTCCCCACGCCATCATGCCGAACCGACTCGTCTCCTGCGTACTGCCACCACACCCATTTCGTCGCCCTCCACTGACTTTCGTCCATCGTCGCCTTCGATGCGTGAAATTCTTTTCTCACGCTCCCTAAAACCACTCGCACTTCGTACGATTCCCTTGCACTTGAGTCGTCGTCGTCGCACTGCATGCCTCTTGTCTCCCTATCGTCGTACAACGTAGGAACCGTCCAAGCAGGTGTCACCGTAGCTCTCGCTTCGACCTGCTGACAGCCTAGAGGCTACGGTTTCTAATCGGAGTCGTCAAGCGTTTCCTTGCTCGAAAGTCATCGCAACGCCGGTTCCGTCTGAAGAAGCTTGAGTGCGCTGTAAGGCCCTCGGTAACATTTTTTACCCAGAGATTAGTACTCTTCTCAGGTGCATAACTACCTTGATGTTATCTGGTGGTGCATAGTTCCTCAAAGGCCACGGATCTGTTTCGCAATCTGGTCGTCACCTCCTTTCACCTCTTCGCTTGCAGTTAGGTTCATGTTACCACCTCCTCAGCCAACGTACATGCAATGATTACCCTGCATATAATTCACTCCCGTTTTGATCGCTTTCGAAGATTTTGAATGTCAGGCTTATTCGGTCTCCCGTTTCTCCCCTACCTCCTTCTGCTCGTCTCCCTATCCATTTCCTCCCTGCCTCTTCGCCCTCATCGCCTCTACCAGTCTACTGCCTTACTCTCAAGTTCACAAATGCAAACCTCATGTTCTTGCATTCCAAGTTCTAGATAGTTTACTCATACTCAGACTTGTGGAGTCTTTTGTAAGCATTACTCTCTGTTGTCATGTGCTGATACTTGAATGCGCTCGTCGTGTCCGCGCGTATACTGTTGAATTTATAAGGCAGCCTACTGCCTTGGTGCTTTCGTGTGCAGCGGCGAAATGCGGGGAGAGAACGAGGACGGTGAGAGTCCTTCAGGGCACCAAGCGGGAGCGAATGGGTTGGTGCTGGCGATGGAGATGAGGCTGAGGGCGCTGGAAGGGCAGCTGGAGGAGACACGGAGGGGACTGGAGGAGGCTGAGAGGCGCCGGACAGAGGAGATGTTAATAGTGAAAGGGGAAATGCTTACTGTGCGAGGTGAGCTGGTGGCAGTAAAGGGGGAGCTGGTGACTGTAAGGGGGGAATTAGCGACAGCAAGAGGGGAGCTGGTGACGACAAGGGGAGAGCTGGCGACAGTGAAAGGGGAGTTAGTAACTGTCAAAGGGGAGCTGGCAACAACAAGGGGAGAGCTGGGAACAGTGAAAGAGGAGTTGGGAATAGTTAAGTGGGAATTTTATGCAGTAAAAGAGGAGCTGGCGACAAGAACGGGAGAGACATCGACAGCGAAAGGGGAGTTAAAAACAGTGAATGGGGAAGTTGTGACAGTGAAAGAGGTGCTGGCAACAAGGGGAGAGCTGGCGACAGTGAAAGGGGAGCTGGAAACAACAAGAGGGAAGCTGGTAACAGTGAAAGGGGGTTTGATGGAAGTGAAGAGGGAGCTGGCTGAACAGAAGGAGGGCCTGCAGAACTTGCAGGAGGAGAAATCGGCTTTGGAGGAGGAGGTGAAGGGGCTGAGGAAAAGAGTGAGTTTGGATGAGGCAGCAGCGATTCAGTGCCCAGCACCGAAGCAGTCCGAGTTTGACGTTGAAGAGGAACTCAGGAAGAGCCAAGGGAGTCACAATCTGTTTTGGCAGGTGTGTATGATAGAGGATTGCACAAATCGAGTGAGGGAGGGGGCAAGGGGGGGAGGGTGGGAGCGAGGGAAGGAGGGACCGACGGATGGATGGATTGATGCATTCTGCATTCTGCATTTTTCGTTTGCTTTCCCCCATATACCCTCAGAGGGTCCTTGTGGCATCATCTAAAACAAATCTGGACTTGAAAGGCCTTGTTGGCCTATCGGACGCCCTCCTCGCCCACGTGGCCACCATGACTCACCTCAAGCACGTGCACATCGACTCCTCATCAGGCTTCACCTCTCAAGGCATCAAGTGCCTCTTCTCCCTACCACACCTGGAAAGCCTGGAGCTCAAGGGCGTCGCCGTCACTGATAGTACCCTAGACGGCATTGGGACGGCTCGCAACAGCCTAAAGTTAGTCTACCTCAACCGCACCAAGATGACTGATGCGGGCGTGAGCCACTTGACCAGTCTCACTTCTCTCAAGACCTTGATAATTTACAAGTCCACGGGGGTGACCTGTGCTGGTATGGTGCACGTGGGGAAGCTGACAAGCCTCGAGGAGCTGTATCTGTATGGAAGCGGAGTAAAAAATGAGGGACTGCGCTTTCTGGCACCTTTGAGCAGGCTCAGAATGCTCCTCCTCCCAGATACGATCACTGATGCTGGCATGGAGCACATTCAGTGGCTAACTGCTCTGGAATATTTGGATTTCAACATGTCTGTAGCGACGGAAAAGGGTGTGAAGCTTCTAAGGAGGTTACCTTGTTTGAAGCAGATGACAGCACACGGTGGCTTTCAGACATTGTTGAGGACCATCCTTCCTGGAGTGGAAGTAACCAATGGTTTTCCATCCGGCGTTATTTTTGGTGACTAGGTTAAAAGTTTTTTTTTCTGCTAATTATTGTGAGTACTGGAACATCTGCTGTGTGTGTAGGGAGGCTGACGTGGTTCAAGCCTGGACTAGGCCCCTAGATACATTCTGGTATGGACTAGGCTGATCCATCAGCATTGGTACAGGAAGGATTCGGGTGCATAATGAGAGGACGTGGGAGTTGGTGGCGGATGTGCTGCCTCATGTGGAGGTGAGCAGTGCACACCTGCCCAATGAGACTAGTTGTGAATATGAAGTCCCATGGGATTTTGTGCAGTGACCTACCTGAATCAGGGTTCAACATGCTGGAGCGGTATTCTAATGTTTACAGCATATGCATCCTATTAGCAAAGTACTCTTGTTCACGCTCCCCATTCCCAGCAGCAGGTCGTCCTTCAGCATGTATAATTATTCGCTTTGGGTCCGGCTATTTGAATATGAATGCGTGTACATGCGTTAACCGTTTGTTGGCTGAGAAAGGATATTAGAACTTCGATTTTCCATCAACGTCTTCAACATTCCATGAATCGAACAAGCGCGTACAGATTGGCATGCTGACGAAATCACTTGGCTCGTCGCGAGTTACCACACGTAGCTGTTGAAAGCTGTTCTCGACTGGGTCGCTCCTTTCGCTGGTGTGGGCCTGGGCGAAAATAACTGACTTTGCGAAGTTAGTTGCGAGACAAAACCGACCGCGAGACAGTGTTGAGGCAATCATCGCAAGGCGTGAAATCTAAACGTAAGGCGTGGCTTTCTCTACTTCGCAGTCGCAAGCCGTGGTATCATTCGCCCTAAGGGCGTGGAAGATCCCTACGAACATGTGTTTGGTTGCTCCTGTGGTCGAGCATCTGGCCTCGTCAATGGCTTGCGACATCTTTCGCGGGGTAACACAAGAAACCCCACATTGCAAATCAGAGAGGCTTTAAGGTTTCGGAAGGGGCCTTGGTCGCTCTCAAGCGAAGAGTTCTGAATTCATCAATCACTCGGAGCAAATTGGATTGCACCACATCACCCACGACAACACCTGGTTGCATGTCGCGTGATTCTTCTTACGTCGCCAATCTTTGTGTTCTGAAAGGTGAGTGCTTCTAGCAATTTTCGTCGCTCTTTTAACGATGCGTCATGGCGAGGGTCGCAACATGTGTTACTGTCGCAACTGCGCGACCAATGCCTTGTTCACAGGGATCTTCCACGCTCTAACTTCAACATCCCTTGCCATGCCCACATCCATCCTGCTCCTATCTCGTATTTCACTCACATGTCCTTCATGGCATAGATAGTCTCACTTCCATGCCATCCCATCGCACGGGCATGGTCTCGTATCTCCCATCCGTTCTTCTCGTTCCCACATGGTGTGTCGCCATACGAGCGTCACACGCTCCACGCCATCATGCCGATCCAATCCATTGCCTGCGTGCTACCATTGGCAATGCCGTCCATTCGTCTCCCTCCCTACCCTCCCTCTCCGCCCCATTCATCGCCTTGGGCGCGCGAGATCCTTCTTCCATGCTCGCTCTGCCCATTTCAGCGTTCAGTGCAGCCCATATCTCCTCCTCGACGAGCGTCTGGGTGTTCCGTAGCTCGCTTGTTTGAGCTTCGATTCCGAACCGGGTCGTCGTAACGATTTCCCTTGCACAGTAATCAGCACGAGAGCACAGTAAGGCACTTTTTTTTTACCCCTGATGGAATATGATCATAATTCGGTGCATATCATCTAGTGGAGCGTGAATTTGGAGAACATAATTGTTTCCTAGTGCATGGTCCTTGGAAGGCCTCACATCCGTTTCGCCGTCTCGTTTCGTCATCTCGTAATATTCGCTCGCTTTGCCGCTTCCGCCCTCCCCAGCTCCTTTCCGCCTAACGCTTCACTCTACAGGATCCCTCTTCTATCACCACTTCACTTCACTCTGTTGTTTCCTTCTTCTACCACCTCTTCGGCCAGTGCCATCGGCGATCCCACGCCATCACTATCCTGCGGAAAGTTCGATTCCGTTTTACCTTTTCCGGAAGCAGATCTTGACTTTCAGGCCCTATTAAACCTCCCATTCGCTCCGATGCATCCTCCTGGTCGCCTCCCTACCCTCACCTCTGCCCCATCCCTGTGTTCCTTCTTGCGTGCTACTCCCCTCTCCTCGACTCACGTTTGCCCTGCCGTCTCTATCCTTCAATTTATCTTGCCTCTTCCCTGTACATCCCCTCCCTCCCTTTACCCGAAAAACTCACAGTGCCTTTGTGCTCCCACATTCCATCTTTATCTCGCCTCTTCGTCTTTCCTCCTTGCCCTCTCCGTCCTGCTCCCCTCCTCCCGCCTCCTCATCTTGCTGCTTGCACAGCCCGCCTAAACCCAGAGCTCTGATGCGGACAATGGGGGGGACGATGGATGAAACGGCCGTGCTTCTGACAGGGCTGCTGACCGCAACTGCTGTCGCTGTGACTGGAATCATGCTGCTGCCAGGCAGGAATGACTCGCACCACAGCAGCAATCACCCCACACAGAACGTGAGCAAGCACGTGCAATGTAAACGTTGCGAGCGGAGTGTGTGGTGGTATTTTCCGTGTGTGGGGTGGGGCTGGTGTGATGTGTTGTGTTGTGGTGTGGTGTGGTGTGGTGTGGTGTAGTGGCATGTGCAAGCATCCGCATTTGAGATGTCGTGCACGTTGTTTTTTCCCTCACCTCCTGCGTCAGCTATGACAGCCACTTCACTTCTTTTTTTGCCTATCCGTGGGACCGACTGGGCTAGTAGCACTCAAAGTTGGTGCCGGTGTGTGCATGCCTGTGCACGCAAGATGCAGCAACGCCTAGGGAACCAACTCCTAACACCGACTCTGTCGACTCACTTGCATGTCACTGCCGTTGCCCGTTCTTCCCATTTGCGTGTCTCATCTGCAGGCCCATCGGCCCGACCCTTTTCAACACATGCACTTCATAGCCACGGCTCTGCACGTCTTCCAGACTCTCGTGAGTCTACTCTCTCGTGTCAGGCAGTCAGTCAAAAGCTTCTCTCTCGTGAGTCTACTCTCTTCCAATCTAACTGATGCCTTCCTGTGTCATTTAAGCACAAGTTATCTATGGCCCGTGGGGCAAGCATGACGCACGTGGCGTATCCCTCTATCTCAACACCAACACCCACAACGACACCATATTAGTATCATCAACAGCACCATCACCATCTGTCCCACTGTCTAACCTACTGTGTCAACACTAACACCAGGTGCAAGTCGTCTTTGCAGCCACGGCAACTGTAACGATGCTGCTCTGGTGGGCGGACGTCTCCCAAGCACAGGCCAGAGCATGGGTGGGCGAGCAGGGCTTGGCGTTGAAGGATGGGGTGCTGAAGCTGAAAAGTGCAGCCCGTGCTTTCGTGGTATGTCGTGAGTCATGGCCTCTCTTTACCATGAGTCGTTTCCTTCCTGCTATGCCTCATTGTTGATCTCAGCATTATTATGCTGTTTCTTTCGATCAAACCATGAGAGATGTATGCCTTTGCTAAGTATATGAAACGAGTCATGCTCTTTCTACTTGTGGGCTCGTATTCCATTTTTTTTCTCTCGTCCTCTCATGTCATCCTCCCATTTCACCCTTCATCTCCTACGTGTATTCCCTCTCTCGTCCACTCTCTCTTCCCCCCTCTTTCCTTCAGTCTGACTACCCGTCTCTTCTCTGCTCATTTCCCCACTTTCTTCCCCTCTCTCTTTCATTTCTTTTTCTCCCTTCAACTTGACTTCCTCTCCCCTCCCTCTGTCTGTCCCTCTCTGTTCCCTTCTCTCCTTCTCGTTATCTTCCAATTCTTCCTCTCAGCCCACTCTCTTCCCCTACCTCTTTCCTGTTACCTTCCCTTTCTTCCCCTCGTCCCTCTTATCTTCCCTTCTGTCTGCCCTCAATGCCTCGTCCGTGGCCTGCCCCTCCCCTGCATCCCTCGTCACGCCACAGGAACATGGCGCTTCAACTCTATATCATAAAACCGTGTAAGAATTGTTTAACCTTGCCATTTTGTGTTCAAAATTGTTACCCTCTATGCCCTTGTTTCTTGATCCTTTCACATACGTGCATGTCATATCCAGTCAATTCAATTCAAAGTCTCTGGATCCATGGTAGTTGTCTTCTTGCCTCTGTCTCCTTCTTCAGCCGTGGAATGCAACAAGCGGATATAGATGCTTCAATTCATTTAGGGCACCAGGAGGCAATAGACGCGCTGAGAGTGGCCATGGAAGCTCGGTTCAGGGCACTTGAAGGGCAGCTGGAGCAGACAAAGGGAGACTTGGAGGAGTCAAGGAGGGAATCAGAGGAGACAAGGAAGGGATTGGAGGAGACACGGAGGGAACTGGAGGAGGCTAAGAGATTGAGAGCTATGGATTCAGAAGATTCAAGAGGACGAGAGGAGGAGAAAGAGCGTGAGGTGATGAATGTCAAGGAGGGGTTGATGGCAGTCAAAGGGGAGCTGTTGAGGGAGTTAGTAGCAGTCAAGGAGGGGTTGGTAGCAGTTAAAGGGGAGCTGGTTACAGTAAAGGGACAGTTGCTTGAACAGAAGGAATGTGTGTGGAAGCTGGAAAAGGAGAGAGCTGCTATTAAAGCGGACGTCAGTGGGCTGAGGTTAGCAGTCGGTGGGCAATCGGCAGCAGTGGAGCAGTGCCAGGTGCCAAGGCATGAGGAGCTGGATGTTGAAGATCAGTTGAAGATGAGCAAAGGCGATGTCAAGTCCTTCTGGCAGGTGTGTATGAGTGCTGGATGAATCGATAGATGACCATTCGTAAATACCTGCTTTTCTCTAGTCTTCACTGACGTTCTCTGTGGTTTGCTTTGCTTTTTGTTGTTTTCCCCTGTTCGCCCTCTCTTCCAGAGAGCGCGCTCAACAACCCTCCTGAATGTGAAAGGGCTGTGTCACCTCTCAGACGCCCACCTGGCCCACATGTCAACCATGACTCACCTCAAGAACGTGCACATCGACACTTCGTCAGGCTTCACCACTGATGGGATCAAGTGCCTCTATTCTCTTCCACAACTTGAGCGCCTGGAGCTGAAGGGCAGTGCTGTCACCGATAGCACCCTGGACAGCATTGGGGCGGCTGGCAATACTCTGAAGCTTGTGTATCTTAACCGCACCAAGGTGACTGATGCGGGAGTGTCCCACTTGACCAGCCTTCTTTCCCTCGAGACACTGATATTCTATGAGTGTGAGGGCGTGACCGGTGCTGGTATGGTGCATGTGGGGAAGCTGACTAACCTGGAGGAGTTGTATTTAAATCGCTCCGAGGTGAGGGATGAGGGGTTGAAGCATCTGGCACCACTGACCAACCTGAGAATGCTCCTTCTTCCACCAAGGGTTACTGATGCTGGCATGGAACATGTTCAGCACCTAACCGGGCTGCAGTGGTTGGAACTTCGGAATTCTCTTGTGACAGGAAAGGGTGTGCAGCTGTTGAAGGGCTTGCTTCACTTGAAGCAAGTGAGGTTGGACAATGGGAGCACGCTGCAGGCCATTGTGAAATCTGTGCTTCCAGAAGTGGATGTGAGTGATGCTGTGTTTCCCGGCGCTGTCATGGGTGATTGAGAGGACTTTTTAAGTGCCTCAAAAGCGATCGCATGTCTCGCGGTACTGTGTTACCGGTGATTGTTTTGGGTTCAGTGGTGTGGCTAAAGCTTGTTGCTTAAGTTGCTTGATTTTTTTGTGCTGGGGCTGTTATAATATGACCAAATGTAGTATCAAATTTCTCCCTTTTCACTCTCTCCCTGGTAGCTAGTCATCCCTTTAGCATGACTTTTTTAATTCTGTGGCACATCCAGTCTACAGTTGTTCCTGGCTGAAGTGCCTGCCTGGATGTGAAAGTGAATGTGGCCTCAGTGTGGCTTGGCTGAGAAATATGTTACCTTGGCACTCAATAGTTCACACCAATATTTTCTTATGTCCTTTTACACCTGTATGTTGTGGCAGAAACATTATCGCGTACAGAGTCGCCGAGCGATTTTCTCGTCAAGTTACCACTCGCACTCGCAAACTGAACCTTCGCCTCAGTCTGTACATAAGCTGGTCTTAGGCCTGGCGAAACCCTGACACAACGAACTTCGTTGCAAGGAGTAAACGAGGCAGTGTAAGAAATTTTCTCGACATTCCTTAGCGCGCCCTGCAACATCGCGTACATCAGCAGCCGTTGTTCCCCCATTACTGCTAACGGGGCTTCGCCGACTTCGCGCGCACTGTTTCACCAAACCTTGCAGTGCTGGCCCGGCCGTGTCGGCCTACGCTTCGGGACTAGCCCGAACCTCACTGCCAGCGTAGCACTAGCTAGCTCGCACGAACCGCGTTACCGTTTGCATGTTTCGCGTATAAATGTTCGCTCATGCCTTTGCTCACATTTTGTACTCGTTTGACACTTAGTGCAATCCTCGCTACCTCGATTCATTGCATGCGTAACACTTGGTATTCATAGCCTCTTTCTTTTTTCGGACCGCGCATCTCCGCACCCCAGGAAATAAACTTTTGATTTTTTCACTCGAAGGGACTCACGCACCTTAGCCCCTAGGAGCCACTGTCCTCGCGTTCTCTCGTAAACGCGTGCAGTCACAGCTGCGCCTAGACTAAGCTACGCCGGCGCCCTTCGCAATGGCCGAGCACATCGACGTCACCACCCTCACGCAGGAGCGTCTAAACGAACTGCTGCAGCAACTTCGCGAAAGCTTTGAAGAAATCGCGGCGCTGACGGCAGAACGCACGTCCCTGCAAAATGACGTGGCACGAGCACATTAAGCACAATCTCAAGCACCTGGCACACCGGTACAGCCCGCACCACAAACATCGCAACACGGAAGCGTGGGGCAACCCGCGAGCGCGGCCAGTGATGGCGTCATCCGCCACGACGGAGACGACGACCACGGCGCGACACACCCCGAAGCGACGAATGCGGCCCGAAGCCAACCGCACGTCACGATTTCGGCACCGATCAACGATTCGGCACTGCCGTCACCAATGCCGCGGAAGCCGCAGCATCCGCCATGCTTTGACCCGAGTCAACGGGGTGGTCCTACCGTTCAGGCGTGGCTGTTCACGATGGATGTCTTCTTCGACGCCAACTACGTCTCGGAGGATACGGCGAAAATCCGTTACGCCTTGTCGCTGCTGCGAGGACCCGCCATGGACTGGTGGCGCGTCATCGTCACGAAGCCGAATGACTACGCGACTCTACCGACACGGAAAGGACAAACCGGACCCTGGATGCCGTCGTATTTCGTGGAGGTGCCCCAATATCGCACGTGGGACGCGTGGTGCGCAGGTCTGCGCGCTTGATTTGAGCCAATTGCGGCTTCGATCGCGACGCGATAGAAGCTCCGCACTTGGCGCCAACTCGGTTCCGTCCAGGACTACACCAACGGGTTTCTGGCGCTATGCGAGCAAGTGGGTTATATGCACGAGGGCGGGCGCATCGACCGCTACATCGGCGACATGAAGCAGAACATCGCTCAGGAAATCCAGCTTCGCGGCGTCACCGATTTTCAAGAAATTCTTGCTATGGCGGAGAAACTTGATTTCTTCCGCCGACCGAGACCGGGGTCCTACGGAAGCAGTAACTGGGGACATCGGTCTCGTGGAACGAACGAGGGCACCACGATATGCGCCGTCACCGCCAATGCCGCTGCCGCACCGTTCAAAGGGCGCTGCTTTGCGTGCAATCGGCCGGGACACCGTAAGAGCGAATGCCCGGAAAACGCTAAGGGAAAGGGGGAAGCCGAGCAGCAGAAACAGACCAAGCAGCAAGGAAACGCTGGGAGTCAGTAGCAGACGGGCCCTCTACTGACAGGTCACGCCGCTCGTCCGACCCAACCGACCCCCACCGAGTAATTGTGCCGGTTCACGCAATCAACCACAACCGGCCGAATAAGGAGGGTACCACGGTAGACAGCCCCATATTGCTTAGTGGGAAGATAGGGACAGACTTAGTTAAAATATTCGTAGATGGGGGAGCCAGCCACAGCCTCATCAACACTGCCACAGCACGGAAACTGAAACCGCCACTGGACAGATGCTTACGTGAGATCGACGCAAGACTGGTTGACGGCACGCCACTGGCGATACGGAAACGCGTAGACCGGGTTCGGAGTTCGGATTCGATGCGGGGGTAACTTCACGTTTAGCCAGGAAATGCTGCGACAACCCTCGACGGAACCGACTTTTTACTCGGTCGTGATTGGCTGCGACGACACAATCCGCGAATCGACTGGACGACGGGTGACTGCACCGTGCGAGTGAACGGTAACAACATCGCCTTACCTCGCTGGGGCTCGCCTGAGTCTTCGTCGGTGCGTGTCAACGCGATCACGATGAAACACGCGGTAGCGGCAGGAGCTGACGTGTACGCGGTTGACATTCAGGAAGCCGAGGCAGCAGACAAAGGGGGGGATTTACGGAAACTGCTCGCCGACGTACCGGATGACCTGGCAGCACTCCTGAAGCAGTACAGTGACATATTTCCAGACGACCTGCCGACGGGACTGCCACCTCAGCGACCACACGACCACAGGATACAGTTAGAACCGGGGGCACAGCCGACAGTACAGCGACAATTCCGACTGACCCAACCCGAACTGGACGAACTAAGGAAGCAGCTGGATTACCTGCTCGAAAAATAGTTCATTCGCCTGAGTTCGTCACCCTTCGCAGCACCGATACTGTTCACGTTGAAAAAGGACAGGGGTTTTCGCATGTGCATAGACTACAGAGCACTGAACAGGGTTACCATCAAATCCCGTTACCCCATCCCGCGAGCCGACGAACTGATCGACCAACTGCGCACAGCCCGGATTTTCTCGAAAATCGACCTTAGAGGGGGTTACCACCAGATTCGCGTCAACCCACCCGACTGCCCCAAGACAGCTTTCCGACAGCTTCGAATATACAGTCATGCCTTTCGGACTGACCAACGCCTCCGCCACTTTTCAAATGACAATGAATGAAGCCTTCCGCCTGCTTTTAGATAAGTGTGTCATCGTGTACCTCGATGACATACTAATTTACAGCCCCGACAGAGCACATCACTTACAGGACATCGAAGCAGTTTTTAAAATACTGAGTGAGAACCGCCTACTGACCAACGCCTCTAAGTGTGAGCTTCTACAGGACAGACTGGAGTTTTTAGGGCACATAATTTAAGCTGACGGAGTGAAAATAGATCCGAAAAAAATCGCGACGATTCAAGCATGGCACGCGCCGACAAACGTGGTTGAGTACACGTGGGGGGAGAAAGAGCAGGCTGCCTTCTCGGCCCTCAAACAAATTTTGTGCTCGCCGCCCGTGCTTCACATCGCAGATCCGCACCGTCCGTTCGAGCTCGTCACCGACGCTAGCGACATCGCTGTGGGAGCAGTACTGTTGTAGGACTTTGGGAACGGCCTCCAGCCAATCGCGTACGAGTCCCGCAAGCTTCACCCGCCCGAACGCAACTACCCGATGCACGACCGTGAGATGCTGGCGATCGTGCACGCGTTCAAGGTGTGCCGATGTTACCTCACGGGAGCAGACGTGACAGTACGGACAGACCACCGATATCTACAGTACCTTCGCGCCCAACCGAATCTCAACTCGCGATAGATCCATTCGTTGAACTATTTGGAGTCCAACTTCCACTACACGGTCACCTACAAAAAAGGCGTATCCAACATCGCCGACGCACTCACACGCCCCACCGCCCAACTCCACGCCATCCTACTCGCCCAAACCAA